AATAAAGTTTCCACAGTACATTTATTTCAGAAGTGGATCACCAATCCTTTTTCCTAGTTTGTTAAAGTGTGGAATTCTCACTGAAACCTCTCCACTATGGGTGACCCTGATGGTATTTGAAATATCAGGAGCATAGCTCCCAATCGCACAGCAGCAGCCAAGTTATTTGTATAAATATGCAGTTCACCCATTCAATTATCCAGATAACATAGTGAGGCACATAGTCGGGTTTGTAAATTATGGAATGAAATGAGCCATAAACACTTCTTCATTAACAGGACTACAGACCACCTCTCACATGTGCAAATCTTCACCAGCACAAGAACAAGTTTTTGTTTTTTCTGTGCATTTGTCCCTCTGCCAAAATGTTATAGTGTGAACACAAAAGCAATCAAAAGAATACAGAGATCACTGAAGCCCTCAAAATGTACTTGTTTCTGCAGGGAAAATAAAACAGACTCACAAGGTAGTGTTAGAGACTAACATAGTGATTTGTCCCCAGTAATTTGGAGGATGCCATTGTACTGAGGAGAGAAAGGGCCTCAGAGTCACATAAATAAAGGTGAATCTCAATTATACCTCATATTGATGTTATAGTGTGGGCAAGTGATTAAATATTAACGTTTCTGGATTTCAGTAGTTGTTGTTATTAAGTGCAATCGAGTTGTAGGTGACTCATAGCGACCCTATAAATGAAAGTCCTCAACACTTGTGTGACTTTCATCCTTTCTTAGGTTCAAAAGAGGCAAGTTATTACGGAAGTGGATGCCACTCCTGCTTCCAAGCTTGTTTTAATCTGGCAGCTCCACCAAACACTGTCCACCATGGGTAACCGTTAGCACATTTGACACATTTAGTCACAGTTTTCAGCTTCACAGCAACCTTTGGCTTGGTAACATCACTTTCTGTTCACTGGGCCAACTGTTCTATGTTGGTGTTATTGTTATTAAGTGCCGTGGGGTCTCCAGTCGTAAGTAACCCATAGCGACCGCATGAACAAAAGTCCTCAACACTTGTGCAACTTTCATCCTTTCGTAATTGAAAATTTTATTCAGTAACAATACCAAAATACAGGATTGGCAATGTAAAATATTGACATTGCAACTAAATAAACCTCAATCTCTTTTACTTCATCAATAATTTAGGAGAAAACAGTTCAAGATTTAAAATATCTAAAGAATCTGATGTCAAGGAACTGTGTGTGTGTGTGTGTGTGTGTGTGTGTGTGTGTGTGTGTAAGAGAAAAAGTTATATTCAACAACTGGGGAAGTCCAGTGATAATGTTCTTGTTATTAAGGCTCTATGGTTGATAACTCCAACAAAGGCCACAATTTTCTGTAGAATAGTATTTCAGAAAAATTTGTTTAATCTCACTCTTCTATAATTTCCAAAATGCATAATGTTTCTTGCTATCAAATGCTGCATCATAGTGACAGATTAACAAGAATGACACAAGGTAGGTAACATGAGAGAAAAGAACGAAAGATTTATTAACCCCAGGCTATAATTCATTATAACTCTGCAGCGCAAGGCAAAACACTGTCTGGTCCTATGTCATCTTCATAATTGTTCCTTTTTATGATCCCATATCACCACAGTCCATATCATTGATAGGCTTCGTTTCTTTTTTGCCTTCACCTTGCTTTCCCTAGTATGCTTCCTCATTGTCTACTTTATGAATTCTTCAAAGTATAGGAGACCAAGTCTCACTAGGCCTTTGTAAGACATTTCTGGCTTTGTTTTTTCCAAAGCAGAGTTAGTCATTTCCCCTGCATCACTCTTCTTTGATATCTTTCATATTCTTCATCAACACCATAACGTTTTTAAAGTCCACAGCCAATAAAGGCTATGTAATGCAGTTTGACTCTAACATGCATAGGGTCTCCGGATCCGTTCTCTATGGGTCCGGATCCGTTCAATGGCAACTGGCACTTTTCAGGGTAGCTGTCCTTGTTTCCTTCTTTTTTAGTAGATTGGAAAGCACAACAATGTAAATTATCTTTCACTACTTGTTCATTTTAAGCCATATCCTGTCCTTTATCTTAGAAATACATGATAACACTTTTGTAATGTCAGTGAAATGATTTATCAGGGATCATATGTTAAATCCTCTTTGACTTTGTATTTCTGACCCTACTGAGTCCCCTAAGTTTATAACCAGAGCTAAATATTTAGCTCTACTTTAGAGAATGATTAATTATATCTCTTATAGGCTTTCTCAAAAATATTATAATATTTTAGTACAATTAATGACAAGTGTATAACTGGATAACCAGTAATTCTACCAATAAAAATCTTTGTGACAAATAAGAAAAGTTCAGCTCATAAATCTTATATAATTAAAAGATGGGATAATTTTTAGACTATTCCACAGGGGAAAATAGTTGGATTTAAGACTAAGTTATTTAAAAAAAAATCTAAATGCATTCTGTTTCATTTTCTTTATTTCGCTCTCTCTTTTCCGATACATCATTATTTATAAAATGTTGTTGTTGATTGCCATTGAGTCAAACATGACGCACAGTGGCCCTATGAGCAAAAGGCCTGAAGCATTTTTATAACTATCGTCAGTTATCAAAGTTCATAGAGTTTCCAGAGACATATTGTTTAGGAAGTGGATAGATCTGTCTTATTTATTACAGAGAGATACTTATTATTTTTTAAAATGTTCAAAATTAGAATATATTATAAAAAAGTAAGAAGATCCAGGCAATGGCTCCATGTTTTGTTAAGTGAATTAAGTTTAGAAATGTGAGACATAAAAAGAAAGAAGGTCTGATGTCAATGCTACCTATCTGGTACCCTCTAGGTAAGGCAAATGCTCTGTCTGAACTTAAGTTTAATTTCTTCATCTTCCTTTAGAAATAAATCTTCTAGTTTTTGAAAAATGAAGTGGTCCATGTAATTGCAGGATTTTTAGAAGAAATATTAAATATTAAAAATCTAATAAGACAATATATTGTGAGGTGCTAAGGAGAATTTTTATTGTTGTTATGATGCTCCCTCAAGTCAGAAAAAACGCAGTTGACCGTGATAGCACTTTCTCCAAGGTATATTTGTTTTTTTGTCAATCCATGCTATATTCAACACTATTCTCCAACACCACAACTCGAAGACATTGATTCTTCTTTCATGTTTTTTCATTGTTATATGCATAGGCAGCATTGGAATGATAGTGGTATTAACAAGTTTTTCCTTGTATGTGTACGGTTATTATCCTGTTGCTCATGAAATTGTATTTTGATATGAACCTAGAAATGATCTTTTCAAACTATGAATGTGACCCCGTTTTTCCTCATTTTTTCTCTTCAGACATAATAGTTCGTAAGATTGTCTGATTCAAAAGGTTTCAGCTCACCAGTGCTTAATACGTCAATATGTATGTGTTCCATTTCCTCCTTAACAATGTTCAAGTGTTCTATATTCACACTTCTCATAGTCCACATTCCAATCACAAGTGCCTGTTTGCAACTGTTCCTCCTCTCTGTTTCCAAATATGAGGACACAGCTTCCAGTGCCATCTAATCTAATCTAATCTAATCTAATCTAATCTAATCTAATCTAATCTAATCTAATCTAATCTCTAACCTAAATGTGTTCTATTCTAAATTTCCAATCCTTATTATGAATTTTAATGAAAATTTACAGAGACTGAATGAATTCCCATTC